TCCGTCAGGTGTCAGTGGTGGATACTCCGGACTGGTTTCAGTCGGAGAGATCTCCTGAGGAGGTGAAAGCTCAGATCTCCTCATGTGTGGCCCTGTTGGCCCCGGGCCCTCATGCATTCCTGCTCTGCGTCCCTGTTGACCAACCCGCTCGTTCCGAGCTGCCGGCCCTGAGCGCGCTGGAGGGTGCATTCGGACCTGACGCCGTCCGCCAGCACACGGTCGTCCTCTTCACGCGCTCGGAGCTGCTGCCGGACGCAGCGGAGGGTGTGGAGCAGGTGGAGGCGTACATCACCTCCCGACGCCCAGAGATGCTGGAGCTGGTGCAGAGATGCGGTGATCGCTATCACGTCCTGCAGCGTGGGAACACAGCCGGACAGCAGAGCGGCGGCGTGAAGGAGCTGCTGGAGAAGGTGCAGCAGACGGTGAAGGAGAGCGGAGGTGACTTCTACAGCTGCTCGCTCCACCAGCAGACTCTCAGGAGAGACCGACAGCGTGACAGAGACAGACAGAGTCCGTCTCACTCTCTGGATGCTCTGAAAGAGGAAGAGGAGGAAGCGACGTCTACGGTGAAGAGCGAGCGTCTGGACTCGGCTGCTCCGGCTCCGTCGCTGCTCCGCTCCGTGTGGGAGACGGCGAGCTCGTGTGCGGGTCGTGTGCCCAAGCTGCTGGCCGCGGGAGCTCTGACAGGAGCGGCGCTGGGGGTGTTCCTCGCTGGAGCTATAGGAGGCGCTGTAGGAGCAGTGCTGGGCTCTGTGGTCACTGAGGTCGGGAGACGGAGGCTCAATAAACAGAAAACAGAGTAACAGACGGTGTGATCTGCTCTGGAGAATCACTGTGAACTGTCAAATAATTCCTTGGTTGTTGTTTCTTGTATCATATCAGTCTGTACAAACTCAAAATGATATGTGACCCTGGACCACAAAACCAGTCTTAAGTGTCAATTCTTCAAAATTGAGATTTATGCATCAACTGAAAGCTGAATAAATAATCTTTCCATTGATGTATGGTTTGTTAGGATCGGACAATATTTGGCTGAGATACAACTATTTGAAAATCTGGAATCTGAGGGTGCACCCAGCGACTTAACACTGCTTTTGTGCTCCAGGGTCACATATGTGCTGTACATGCTGATTCTTCAACAAGAGTTTCATAAACACAAGAGCAAATCAGTTTCAACAATGAGTCTGTTCACTGTATTTTCCAATTGTGTAACCATACATACACCAAAAAACTAAATTTTCTGTTCTTGCAAGGAATAAAGGGACACCGTTTGTAATTTATCACTATACATGTTCCGGACTGACTAGGGAATAATTCTAATTTCATAATGTAAACAAGTCATATTCACACTTTACGGTTAGCACTTTAAGTAACCTTTAGCACACTTAAAGGAACACGCCACTATTTTTGAAAATAGGCTCATTTTACATCTCCCTTAGAGTTAAACAGGTGAGTTTTACCGTTTTCGAATCCATTCAGCCGATCTCCGGGTCTGGCGGTAGCCCTTGTAGCTTAGCTTAGCATAGATCATTGAATCTGATTAGACCGTTAGCATCTCACTCAAAAATGACCAAAGAGTTTCTATATTTTTCCTATTTAAAACTTGACTCTTCTGTAGTTACATCGTGTACTAAGACCGACGGAAAATGAAAAGTTGCGATTTTCTAGGCCGATATGGCTAGGAACTATACTCTCATTCCGGCGTAATAATCAAGGAACTTTGCTGCCGTACCATGGGTGCAGCAGGCGCAATGATATTACCCAGCGCCTGAAAATAAGCTAACTTCCGTCAACGTGACCACCTGCTTGCACAGGGAGCGTGCTGGGGACTATTTTCAGGCGCCGGATATCTATTTTCAAAAATAGTGGAGTGTTCCTTTAAGGTTAGCACTTTAAGGTTAGGTTTTAGGTTAGCACTGTTGCCTCAGCAAGAAAGTCCCGGGTTCGAGTCCCGGCTTTCTGTGTCTGCCTGAGTTTCCAATCCAAAGATGTGCAGCAGCGGTAAATGGGGAATGTTAAAACTGACCACAGCTCTAAATGAGTGTTAGTCTGTGATGGACTGGCCATTCGTCCAGGGTGTTCCCGATAGACCCCACAGAGGACAATGGATGGATTACTGTGTCCTGATGGAAGGAAAAGGTAAATTTAAAATGACGCCGTTACAGAACTGCTTATCAGTGCCGTAAGATATTTGTGAAAAAAATTACAATCAGGCAACATCAAAGTCAGTCTTGATCCTGAGGTACAACCATCATCACCTCCCTTATTATATAAAAAACAAACACCAGTACACCAGAAAAACAACACTGCTACAGTTACTGCATTTAATACATTAAAAAATCGTTGGATATGCAAAATATTTTCAAGAATTACTGTGGTGACAAATTAACAGATGAAGCCGAAATCTAGTTTGAGGCCTTCATGTAGTAAGTTATCTGGAGTCTGAAAGACACAACCTTTAGTAATTTATCGATATGACTGCACTGACCATCAGATGAGAACAAACCTCGAACTGAATTAAGCTGGATGATGGCACTATTGTCTTCTGTAGGGCTGTTGCACTGATAATAAACTGAATTGAATCCACAGTAAACTGACTCGAGCTGAATAACAACATTGCTTCAAACCTTGTTCACAGCTGAAGCGCTAAAGGATCTCAGTAATCCTCAGATCTGAAGTGTGTGAAGCTTTCAATAAAAATACATTTCAAAAGCACATGTTGGTCACTTTGGTGTGACGAAATGTTACAAAAACTTTTGGTTGTACTTTATTTTACAGTATGTGTACTTACAATGTACTTACCTAAGAAAGTAATGGTAATATAATTAACTACATGTGTTAGGGGTAAGTTCAGGGTTAGTATTTAGTTATTACCCAGTTATTATCACTATAATAAGTACATTGTACGTACATGTGGAACAGGACTGTAAAATAAAGTCCCAAGAAACGTCTATATTTGACCTTCTTCACATCGGTGGATGTTTTCTCAAATTCATGAGGTGCATCCTGGGGTTCCAATAACGTTGTTGATGCTCACTCATATCAATTTTATTAAATTCAATTTTTTAAGTGAAATTCATAAGCTCAATTATTTGCATTTGTCTCCAAAACTAACGTTCAGCATCATTTCAGCTGGTTTCACATCAAGTCTCACATGTGTCCAGACTTCACTAACACACTGGTGTTTTTACACACATACTGGACACAGTGTTATCCAACCAGTGAGTTGTGTGCGTGCGTGAGTGAGTATGTGTGTGTGTGTGAGAGTGTGTGTGAGTGAGTGAGCGTGTGTGAGAGTGTGAGTGTGAGTGTGTGCGAGTATATGTGTGTGTGTGTGTGTGTGAGAGTGAGTGAATGTGTGGGAGAGTGTGTGTGTGAGTGAGTGAGTGTGTGTGTGTGTGTGAGTTGAGTGAGTGAGTGAGAGAGTGAGTGAGTGAGTGAGTGAGTGAGTGTGTGTGTGTGTGTGTGTGTGTGTGTGAGAGAGAGTGAGTGAG